GTTAGCTGTAAAAATCCAGATTAGCCGCACCGTTATATAAGCCGCAGCGTCGAAAAATAGGGAAAAAGGCGCGGTTTATAGTCCGAAAATTACGGTATATAGTTATTTGTCAAACTTGAATAGCTGACTTGCATAGTCCCCTGTATTTACGGGCCAAAGGCCTCGGGGTTGCTCCCTAAATGTTCATGAAATGGACGACGACGCTTGTTCTCTACCGTGTTACCTCCTAATGCCAAAGCTATGCCAAGGTAGAGATGAGCTCCTGATACGACTATAGATAAACACTACATACGTTATGTTTATTTGCTCAGTACAACACTAGCCAACTCTAGCTTACCTCAGAATATCTCTTTGTCATGAATGTGACTGTTTATGAGACGGACAGTGTTATGTAGCATATGTGTCGGGGGGGTAGCCCTGTATCTCTAACATGTACTCACCTCAGACGGTCCAGTCGTCTCGCTGGATCTGATTATTACGCTCCTCTCTATCTGCTTTATCTGACAGGAAAACAATAACAGTAATAAAATTGTAAACAATGGCTCTGGTATGTCTTGACTTTTTTTCTCAGTGATTTCAGGTTTTGGATGGCAGAATTTTCGGATGGTTTATCAGGCACATTCGTAAAAAGAAAATATATATATCAATGAAGCAGCCGGTGATTCCTAAGGGGAACACCTGGATAGTTTCTGAGATTAAAGCAGTAAATAGACTTGAAATAAATCTCAAAGATAAAACTACCATTTTCTTTGTTATTATACAATTATACATTTGTGAAATTCAGCAATTCTCTAAAGAATAAAGTCACAAATTTGTGTTTGAAAATTCACAATTTTGCGAGAAAAACTGAGGAGTTCTGTGAAGATTAAAGACACTTATTTACATAGGAGGAGGCGTGTGGCGTAGTGGGTTGTGCGTAGGTGTTTGGACCAGGGGGTCACAGGTTCAAACCCCACTGCAGTCAGCATGCAGTCGTGTCCCTGAGACACTTCACCCCAAATTGCTCCTGTGAGGATTGCCCATAGTATTGAGTATGTAAGTCACTTTGGATAAAAGCATTTAACAAGTAACATGTCATGTTACATTGCTTTATTGTTATTTTAATAGGCTCATCACCACAATTATCAGGTTTTCTTCCTGTAAATGTCTTAATTGTTTCTTGTCCATTTTTGAGTTTCTTGTGTTTGTTCTATTTGTTATTGTTAGAAACTGAATTTTAATTATTTGTAGAATATCATCTTACTTATTGACTTTACCTATGGCCCTTCCTGTCATAGCTCTCAGCTGGTGTCAAGATGTTGAAGCCAGATTTGAGCTTATTCCTGAAAAACTCAAGTCACTTTAGATCGAGTTAACATCTCACCTTGTCAACACTGAATACAATAATTATTAAGGCTATACAAAATACTTTTAAAAGTCATTCTTTAGTGCATGCTTCAGTATTTTCTAATGCATTCAGGTCTGATGTCAGCGCTGTGATCACATCTGGAAGAAGTGAACAACAGTGAGAGCCGAGCTGAAACTTTAAGGTAAGTCAAAAGATATGCCTTCAAAGCCTAATAATATTACTACAATATGAGAGTTGAACTTCTTTACACGTGTTGCAAGGGACCACACTTTATATTCCCTATAATGTGAAATGTTATTGGAGATGACAACACAGAAAATGTTCACCCCTGAAACTTATTTTCTGGTTAATTGGAGTCCAACCAGCTGATCTCTAGAAACTAAAACAAGGTGGAGTTAATTCATAATTATTATTTTTTTCAACAGCTAGATTAAAAAATATATATAAATCCAATAAAAACAAGAAAGGATACAATTAAAAGCCATGGATTAATAATTAAGTACCAGTTGATACTTCAATGTTTCAAATATTGTGCTTTTTTTTTATTGCAAATTTAAGTTTTGGTTAATATCCATTAGAAATAAAGTCAAGTGTGGTCTATTGGTCCAGGGAGAAACTCCCTCTGGAGGGAACTGGGATGTGAGCGTTTGCAGACCATTTACGTGAATACAAACTTATACAATACACTACAGGAGAGGGAAACCGCAAAAAGCAGAATAGCCCCTTTAAATGACCGCTCGCTACTCGGGGATATTTTACAAAATTACTTGTTTCCTCTTGAGAAAGGATTTCCGGTCCAAAATGATGATTTATAGTCTCATTATGTGTACGATGCCTTCCAACTCTGTAATTGATTTCTAGTTGCACAGCGCGAAGGACTTGGCAGCACGCAAACAGTGGAATTAACTTGTCTCAGGAAATTGGCGTTTAGAGAAACATTAGCTGTTTGTTGCCTAGCGGACACAGTGACGGAGTTAATGTAATTACATCAACCTGATACGGTTTGCCCCAAATCCCTCGGAAAGATGCTGCGTGCTCGAAGTTTGGCCTCGAGGCTGAAGTCTGGAGATCCTCCAAATGTTTTTAATCCATGAATTAAATACGTGTGTGTGTGTGTTCACGTGTATGCATGCATGCTTGCAGGCCCTTTTTACGGGTTGTATCATGAATGCAAAATATGTGAACGACGTGGTCTTTAACTGCTGTTCCTTCCTTAAAACACACGAGGGAGACATTGTCCACCGTTGCTTTACCCCTAGAAGGAATGGAGTTGTTGCTACCATATTAAAAAAAAAAAAATGCTGACCTTTGCCATTCACTTTAGACTCAACCTAATGAGGAAAATATCTGAACTTGTATCATTTGTTATTTGTATTTTGCACATAGTGTTGAACAGAAATGTGAAAATTAGTAAAAAAATTACTTTCTTTTCGTCCTCCTCACTCTGGTTTACAGAATAAAACAATATGACGAGTGTCAGCAAGTGTCGACTTCACACTGGCGTATTTGCAATTTAAATGAGCTTTGTGCAATTTCCTTGTCTGGCACTCGGTGAACAGTCAGTAAAACCCCGGCCATCTGGTACGTTTAACAGCCTGAAGCAGACTCTCAGCATTTCAGCGTTTCTCTGTTTGTGTCTTGACTAATTATTTAGTCTAATTATGTTGTGTTAAGATATAATTAAAGGTGAATTAGGTTTGTAAATGCAAGTAGATTGTTCCACATGCTGGTGTGGTTTCATTTGTAGCACGATGGAGGGGAGACTGTTACTCCAGCTGCTTCAGGATCATTATGTCAGAGAAATGTGAGCCTCCAAGCTACAAATATACCTTTTTAAACATAGCATGACAGGGCTAGTGCTGAGATAAGTAATGTATTATTTAATTAGTTACAAGAATTTTGAAAGCAGTTAAAGTTGTTAATCAAGCTAAGATGACTTTATGAAGCTCAGCGCAAGTTGTTTCAGAAAGACTGGGTATACATTCACTCCGGAGCTGCATATAATCATCACGGGCGTTGTCTATAACAGTGGTTCTCAACCTTTTTACACCAAGTACCACCTGAGAAAATAGTTGTCAATCCAAGTACCACCATATGACCAATGTTAAAATACAGTCTCTGCACAGTTCATGCAGGACTCTGAGGCAAATGTATTCATAATAACATTATTTATTGTCAGCCACAGCTAAATGTACAACGGTCAGTCCTCTCTCTCTCTCTCATCACTCACACACCACAAGTGAGAATATAAAGAACAAAATAATAACTTATTCTCACACAACAAATGACAACTGTACATAGCCTACATGTACCAAATACCAAAGTGTGAATGTCCTATTGGGAATTCAGTTCCACAATAATAATGAAAGCCTCCAGGAGCAGATGAGCATAAGGGCTAATAGCTAATCTTCAGTCTGCTGATGTTTGCTATTGCCATTTCTTTGGTGGCAAAGTAAAAAATAAAATAAAAAATAAAACAATGAAGGACAAGTGTGTGCTTTTTCAACTTTTGTCAGTCAAAGCCTTCTCTCCATTCTTTGCGTCGGATATTGAAAGTGCAGTCTCAAAGCACCGCAGTCTCTTCTCCTAAGTCCTTTTGAAATCTCCTATCCACTATCCCTTAACCCCGTGACGTTTCACTCAGAGGTCAAGGAATAGACGATAAGGATAGACGATAGGAGCTGATTTTTGGACTATTCGACACCAACCTATAACTGAGTTTTCCTCCTGAAACAAAGCACAGTGTTCATCCTCACTCAGTCTGACCCCTCCCTCACTAAAACATATTTGTACGCATAGCTATATATCACAGGAGGGTTGTTTTAATACAAATTTGAGCTGTAACTATTTTGATTCAAATCATTTCACTTTTCTCCGCTAAGTTCAGCAGTTTGTAGCTAAGGAAGGAGGTTCAGTCTCCTGGATCACGTTAGGTAGGGGTGTCTCTGTGATGGGGTCCTGTGTGGGGGGGGGGGGGATCCTGGGAAGGGGTCACAGCGGGAGACGACTCCTCGGAAGAACTCACCTCAATGGACTCTAAGGAATCTGAGGTTTCTTCTTCTCCATTGAGACACATCTGTTGGAGGGTAAAAAGAAAAGATTTAAAAGAAGGTTTCAACCACAAATCATAATTTTGGTGTCAATTAAAGAGGACGTATATAGTTTTCAGGTTCATATTTAGTGTGAATGCACAGAATAAGGAGTTTTTCTATATTAAAGCCCCCCCCCCACACTCACACACACTCAATCAAAACTACTACTACTTACAGTACAAAACGACTTACTGTACATTCAACTATTAAATCAATCAGCTATTTCAGGACATTGAGGCTATACATTTACAGTGGAGGAAACAAGTATTTAGCCTCCTTCAGATTTTGTAAGTTTACCAACTGATTTTACAACTAAAAGCTCTTTTCAAATGAAGAACAGGTTGTAACCGAGGCTCTGTGTAAGTAAACACAGGTCAGAGTCTGAGCGCTGCTCCTCGTCCTGGAATGAGTCAGACTTTGATGAGCCCTCCCTCTTCTTCCTGCTCTGAGACACAGCCAGCTCCACTCTGTATTTCCTGGTTCCTCCCCTTCAGATCCACACTGAGGAGGATGGGTGTAACCAACATGTGGGTAAAGTCCAAGAGCTGATAGGCCACATTCAATGCACACACACATGCTGTTCAGATCACCTGTCACACTAGTTCCAGCTCTCAGGAAGTGAAACTCACACACTCGCTGCCACTGAGAGGTGACATGGCGCAGAAAGGAGTTCAGCTGGACCGGGAGACCTTCTCTTGTTCCATCTGTCTGGATCTACTGAAGGATCCGGTGACGACTATCTGTGGACACAGCTACTGCATGAAGTGTATTAAAGGCTTCTGGGACGGAGAGGATGAGAAGAAGATCCACAGCTGCCCTCAGTGCAGGCAGAGCTTCACACCGAGGCCTGTCCTGCTGAAAAACACCATGTTAGCAGCTTTAGTGGAGGAGCTGAAGAAGACTGGACTCCAAGCTGCTCCTGCTGATCTCTGCTATGCTGGAGCTGGAGATGTGGCCTGTGATGTCTGCACTGGGAGGAAACTGAGAGCCTGTAAGTCCTGTCTGCAGTGTGTGGCCTCTTACTGTGACCAACATCTCCAGCCTCACTATGAATCACCTGCCTTTAAGAAACACAAGCTGGTGGAGCCCTCCAAGAAGCTCCAGGAGAACATCTGCTCTCGTCACGACGAGGTGATGAAGCTGTTCTGCCGCACTGATCAGCAGAGTATCTGTTCTCTCTGCTCTGTGGACGAACACAAAGGCCACGACACGGTGTCAGCTGCAGCAGAGAGGACTGAGAGGCAGAGAGAGCTGGAGGGGAGTCGACTAAACATCCAGCAGAGAATCCAGGACGGAGAGAAGGAGGTGAAGCTGCTTCAGCAGGAGGTGGAGGCCGTCAATGGCTCTGCTGATAAAGCAGTGGAGGACAGTGAGAAGATGTTCACTGAGCTGATCCGTCTCATGGAGAAAAGAAGCTCTGATGTGAAGCAGCAGCTCAGATCCAAGCAGAAGAGAGAAGTGAGTCGAGTCAGAGAGCTCCAGGAGAAGCTGGAGCAGGAGATCTCTGAGCTGAAGAGGAGAGACGCTGAGCTGAAGCTGCTGTCTCACACAGAGGAGCACAACCACTTTCTGCTCAGCTACCCCTCCTCACTGTCAGCCCTCAGTGAAGCTACACACTCCTCCAGCATCAACATCCTT